TTGATTCCAAATCCAGGACTTTATCCATTGTGTCATGCTGTCTCCCCTCTGTGAGTGGGGAATAAGCAATGTGAACTCTTGAACTCTTCAGAAGGAGCCCATATTCCCTTAGGAATGAATGAATGAATGAATGAATGAATGAATGAATGAATGACAAAGTACATGTTTACCCCTTACTGTGTTCCAATCACTATTAAGCCCTGGAGATACAAATAGAAAAAATGAGAGAATCCCTGCTCTCAAGGGGCTCACATTCCAATGGGAGGAGACTACACATAAATGTTAGCTGCAGGGCAGATTGAAAGACTTGAAGGTCTTCACGGTTCAGTGATAGGGCTGATGGCAAGGTCCAATTGTCTCTAGGGAGCAACAGCAATCCAGTTGACAATATGGCAGGGGATGGGTAGTTGGAGGCAGGGCAGATGGTAGAAGTCTAATAGTCTTCCTTTTAAAGGACTAGAATTGGTGACTCTCAGGTTATCCAAGCATTCATAGGAGAGGGGTGTAGGGAAAGCAAAGGAGAAGGATGTCCCTGACCAACTCAAGGGATCTTGGTGGCCTGAGAATTGTGAAAATATTTCTATCAATCATGAATTGTGGAAGGCAAATAAGAAAAAATACACACAGATAAACAGATTTATAGATTCGGACCTGAGAGGGAAAGTAGAGATTATCTATGTCCAAGCTTCTCTTCTTACTATTGAGGCAAATGAGCCCCTGAAATGGGACATGACTTACTCAAGGAATCAGTTAGTGGCTGAGTAACAATTCCAGCCCAGATCTCCTTGACATCTCATTCTGAGCTCTTTCCACTTCATTTCTCAGCCTTGTATACAACACTTTGCAAAGCTTTTAGCTGTACCTTAGAAGTCAGTAGCAACCTTAAATTATGACAGAAGAGCAGCTTCCAGTTCACTTGGGGCAAAAAAGAAAAGAAGGTTGGTTATTTCTATTTGCCCTGAACTGTGTACTTCTAACTGTTTACAGTGGTTGGGGTTTATCATGCAGAATACTGCTGACCTTTCCTATTTACGATGTTAGCTGCGCACCACTAATTTCCATTTTGACATGATGTGTGGTACACATCTACCAGGCCCCCTCAAGACTTCCAGGTTAGTCAATTAGACAGCTCCCCCATGGGACACAAAGTCCAGTCTGCTGGCTCTGTTGCTTGATCTCTACTTCACCAATAGGTTTCCCATTCCCCCAGCCTGGGCTCACTTGAGACAGAAGAGAAATAGAGGGAAGGAGGTGAACCATGTTGGTCTGATTCCTCATCTACAAAATGAGAGAGTTAGACTAGTCAGTCAGTAAACACTTATTAAGTACCTACTATGTGCCAGGCATGGAGGGAGCTTGGTACAGTGGAAGGAGTCCTAGATCTGGAGAATGAGGAGTTGGATCCAAATATTGACTCTGCCATTTTCAATCAGTGCTACCACAGGCAAGCCAACTTCCTCTGGCCTCAGTTCAATTCAATCCACAAAATTTCATTAAATACTTTCTATGTATATAGACATTGGAGAAACAAGGATGAAAAACGAAAACCAAGTTCCTGCCCTCAAGGAGCTTACATTCTAATGGGCGTGGATTTCCTCTTTTGCAAAGTGAAAGGGTTGGCTTCAATGACCTCTAAGGTCCTTTCTAGGTCCACGTCTGTGATCCTCTGATCTCTAAGGTCCTTTCTACCTCTAATCTATGATTCTATGAAATCACTCAGGTACAGAGCTGTAATGGACCTAAAAGGACCACAGTGTGGAGGAAAGAGGACTCAATATGAAGTTACAGGATCCAGGTTCAAGTCCCAGCTCTGATGCTTTGCTACTTGTTTCTTTGGGCAAGTCATTTCATTGCTCTGGGCCTTAGTTTCCTCAGCTGTAAAATGAGACCGTATGGTTACTAAGATCCCTTTTCATCTCCAAATCTATGATCCTATTATTCTGATCCAGGTTCCTGTTTAGGGCCCTAATAAATTCCACCTGGGTATTAGGACTTCTTTTCCTATTGGAGGATGGCCAAGTCGCAGCTCAAAGTGCCCCATCACAGATACCGTTATTTACATTTTTATCAGCTCCATTCTGATCTCTGGAGCTACAAAATACCTATAAATGGCTCTGTTCCTGCTACTAGACAGATGAATGATTAAACCCCCTGAGACAGAGGAGACTTCATCCTATTTTCAGAAATCTCCAGAAACAGAAATCCTATAACCTTTTTTGGTGGCCTGTTCCAGAATTTAGCCATCATTTGTGTAGTCAGGGAATCCTTCCCTTCGATTGTTTCTTGAATTTGTTCCTTCTACATTCCCGTTGCTTCCTCTCTCTCACTCCCACACCCAAGCCCCTTTTATCTCATTCCTGAATTACTACACCAGACTCTTAACTCTTGCCCCAATGCCCCTTTCCCCTAGGCCATCCTACATACCTGTAGGTATGGATTAATCTTTCTATAATCATATTTCCATGTTGATCATACACCCCTGTCCTTGAGAATCTACTAAGGTTCTCTGTTACCTAAGACAATGTTCGCCAAAGTTGGGAGGGTTGTGTGGCCTGACCCCAGTGAATGTGTAATCAGCCATCTGGAGGGTGGAAAGGTGAATATCATCTCATCTCTTAATACAACCACATCTACCACACATAATACTCCTGGCTCTGCCCCCTCCCTTTGCTGTTCAAGCTTTCAGCCTCCCCTCTTCTGGGTTGAGTGCTGGCTCCTTGGGGCAGTTACAACTTAGCCTCAAGGCCAGTTTGCAAGTTCCCCACTCGTGATAACCACTCTAGAGATACCCACAGCATTCTCCTAATGTACATCATTATTAAAACTGCTATACAAGTATATAATTTACAATTATTTCATATAATATATCAAATGTGATAATATAAATTATGTAATTCATAATTCTAATTTGTAATTAATAATATAATTTATAAATAAGTAAATAGGCATATATTATGGCTGTGTTTTTTTTTTTAACTAATAGAGGTTTTTAATAAAACATGTTTAGAGACCACTGACCTAAGAGATCAAGTCCAGATTTCTCATCCTGGCATTCAAGGCCCTCTTTCACTTATTCCCACCTACTTTTCCAACCAATCTGTAGCTGTTCTTCAGCACTGACCTTCGGGCTTGTTTCATTACTATTCCTTTCCACCCACTCTCACTCTTCCCACGCATAAGCTGTGACTCTGTACTTTTGTTCAAATTATCACCAATGCCTAGGAGCATTGTCCTCCGTTCTCTCTTTCACGCATCTTTTTAGATCTAGAGCAAGTTTCCACCTACTCCATGGAGCCTTCCGTGATTGACCCAGCTCACTCTGGCTTCCTCTTTGAATTTCCATGGCATTCCCAATCACTTAAGTGCACACATGTGGAGTTTCCATCTCCTTAGCTTTGTTTGTCAGATCCTCTCTGTCTGGAATATCCTTCCCCTATTCTCTGCTCATCCAAGTCCCGTTCATCCTTCAGAACATAGGCAGATACCTCACTACTGCAGACTCCTTCAGAACTTCTGGACTGGACTGCACTCCCTTGGCACTTACCAATATCTTCTATCATGATTTATTATTAAGAACATAGGATTCAGGGTCTGAAAGGCAGTGTGGTGTGGTGGACAGAGTGATGAAAGACCTGGCTTTGAATCTTGCCTCATGCTCTTACTATCTGTGTGACTCTGGTCAAATAATTTAACCACTCTGAACCTAAGTTTACTCATCTGTAACACGATGTGGTTGGATTTGATGACTTCTAAAATCTATTTCAGCTTTTAATCTATGATCCTATGAACATTACGTATAATCTCAATCAACCCTCTCATTTTATACATAAGGGAAATGAATCTTGGAGAGTTGTTGACTTTCCCCAAGTCAGAAGATCATAGATTTAGAACAAGAAGGAACCATTGAGTCTGACTGTCTCTAAATGTTTTAAATGACTGAAGCAGGATTCAAATCCAAAACCAGGTTGTAAGTAGCTTTTCAGAGGAAAGATTTCCTGATTGGAATGAAGAATGATTGTTAAACCATAAACAAACTGACTAACATAACTCATGAAGAGTTATAGAAAGAAACTGTTATATCAACACAATCACAAATAAGTGGAGTTTTGAAGAAATAGATAGATAAAACAATTATTTGGAAACTCATTAGTTTTCTGCCTTCTCAGGTGAACACACCAATTCCTTTAAAATCACTAAAGGCTGGTTTTCATCTATTGCTCTACCCAAGGTAATGAGGGCTAGGGCCTAACTCTCCGACTAAATTAAGGTTTTTTTGTGAGGAGTTTGTATGTACGTGTATGTGTGTGTGTGTGTGTATTGTATGTGTATATATGTGTGTGTGTGTATATATATACATATGCACACACACACGTATGCATATACACATACACACACACACATATATGCCACACTCATATATGGCTTTATGTAGAACTCCCTTCCTTATTTTGTACATTTGTTTGTGTATTTGTTTTTATTGATGTTTATTAAATTTATAATTAAAAAAACAAATAAATACTTGCTGCATTGTCTTTACCTAATTAGGTGATCTCCCACTACAATTTAAAGCCCATTTCCAATGGCTGGGTTTCCTTGTGCCCATTTATTTCTTTTAATCCCCTGACCACTGAGCACAATGCTTTCCGTATAGGAGCATAGATTTAAAGCTAGAAGGGACTGCAGAGATCATCTAATTCCATTCCTTCATTTTATTGAAGGGGAAACTGAGTTCCAGATAGGCAAAGTGACTTGTTCTAGGTCACATCAGTAGGAAGGGGTAGAATCATGGTTTGAACTCAGAATCTTTGACTTCAAAACCAGTGCTCATTTCTCACCCCCCCCCAACGTCTCCCCTTGTACCATGCTGCCTCCCTGTGGTTGATACTCAGTGTATGTGTGTGTGGTTGATCATAATGATGTGGGCCCCACCTGACCTCTTGGGCACTGTTCCTTGCTTGTTTACCGCATGTATGCCTTGTCTCATCTGTCGTTCCTTACAGAGTCTCCGAGTTGGAAGGGGTCATCTCGTCTAGTCCTTCCTTAAGCAGGAATACTCTCGACATCATCCCTGGTGAATGGTTATCCAGCCTCTGCATAAAGACCTCCAGGGATGGGGATCCCACTACCTCCTGAGGCAGCCTAATCTATTTTTGGACAGCCCTGATTGTCAGGCTTCCTTCTTTAGAGCCAAAATCTGCCTCTGTGCAGAGGCTGTTGCTCTTCGTGCTGCCCTTGGTGCCAAGTAAAGCAAGTGTGTCGCCCCTGCCCCCCAACATGGCAGCCCTTCGAACGCTTGAAGGGAGCTTTCATGTTCCCCCTACCCGTCCCATGCCTTGCAGCCCCCGCAAGTCTCTTCTCAAGCAGTAAGCTTTTGGCTTTCCCATGCCCACCTCCTTCCCACTGCTTGGCCCTTCTGCTGTCTGAGGGAAGGGACCGCATTTTCCCCTTTTATAGCCTCTACAGTCCCTAGTACAGCACTGGGGACCTAGTATGTGCTTACTACGTACTTGTGGCAAACGCATCATTCCTTTTGAGCCAGTGATCCCATTGCTGGGAGTGCATCCTAAAGATATAATGAAAAGAAAAAAAAAAGGACCTAGCTGTATAAAAATATTTATGACTGCTTTATTCGTAATAGCAAAAAAAACCAAAACAAAACTGGAAACAACCCATATGTCCAATGATAACAGAATGACTGAATCAATGATGACATATTAGTGTCATGGAACATTATGGTGTTGTGAGAGAAAAAAAAAGAAACAGATGAAGAGTATGAGCAAATGTGAAAAAGCTTATATGAAGTGATACAGAGTGAGATTGGCAGAATCATGAAAAGTAGACTCAGTGAATAGAACTCGATCTTTTTAAAGAAAGAAAAGAAAACAGAGCCCAGGCTAATGGTGCTTCTGACAGATTTGGACAGGGACCCAGAGCAAATGTATTTTCGGTTAGTTTGTTATGTATTTGATTCTACTTTGTTAAAATGTAAGGTGTATATATATCTATTTATGGCTTCATGTAGGACCGCATTCCTTATTTTGTACATTTGTTTATTTGTTTTCATTGATGGTTATTAAATTTATAATTTAAAAAGCAAGCAAATAAATACTTGTTGCATTGTCTTAACTTTTACCTAATTAAGTTATCTCCCATGAAACTTGAAACCCGTTTCCAATGGCTGGGTTCTCTTGGGCCCAAAAAAGGAATTAACCAAACAGACAATTCCCTCATCGTGTATCTCCACATACATGAAGCTTCCATCAAATTCTACTCTAAAACCTTATCCTGGCTTCCAGGGGACACTGGAGTTTCAAAGGCTATAATAGCAGAGCACAAACCCTGGCTGGCCCTGGGGGTCAGATTTGGAGGTTGGTCCTGATGATGGCCAATGTGTTTGTTATATGAAGATGGGTCTAAGACAAAGACCAGGTTGGCCATAAGGTGATACAATTTTTGGCCACTGAAACTGGTGCAGAACTAGCTACAAAAGTAGAGCAGGGCTAAATGTTACTGTTAGGAGGCCTAGTCATACACATCCTGCAAGAATTGAAGAAATATATACATGAAGCCAGTTGTTAAGAAACCTGACTTCCGGGTCAAACACCACCAATTCCTCTAACCAGACTCAAGTCTGGTTTTCATCTATGACTTTTCCCAAGCTTTATATGTCCTGTCATTCCTTCATAGAAGAAACTCACCCACGCCCATTATGTCTGGCTCTTGCCAGGTTCATTGTGGTTGCCGCACAATGCCTTGTGTTGTTCCAAGTCATTATAACTCTTGTCCTTTGGCTGACGCTCGAGACCTACTCAGCCCTCCTTGAGTTCTTACAGAATGAAAAGTTAATGGTGCTGCGAGAACATTTGCCAATTTCTGAAGTAAATGAAACTAGCTTTAAATGGTAAATCCCCTTTGGGTCTTTAGTACAAATGTAATTTATGTTGCTTCACAGAACCCTGGAAGTACAAATGGAGGGGCTCTGATCAACACTGCTCTAAGACGTGCACGTAAGTGTGATTATGTACATCTTTGAGCTGGTGCACACAGTATGACTGGGATAAAGACAGCTGTGCAAAAGCTATCAAAGTCCAGATAACTGAAGTCTTTGCTACACCAGCTCACATTTGTATGGCTCTTCACAACGAATAAAGCAGTTTCCTCTTGACATCACCACCAGAAGGTTAATTCAACATTAAAACCCCCATTTTATATATGACTAAGCTGAGGTTTAGAAACAACAAATTACATCACATAGTATAAAATAGAGGTATGTCAGTATCTCAAAATAAGTGGCAGGAACCAGCCCTTGAAAATCCAGATGATGGAAAAAGGAAGTCTCTGGGATAAGCACCCAACTGAAGAGGAAGATGAAGAGGTCATTCCGTTGGGGTACATAGGAATGAACCCACAGAAAACTGCACTCAGGCTATGACATTGCCAATAAAGGACTGTGTGTGTGTTAAGAAACTCAATATTTGTCCTCACTTAAGGGGATGAGATCACCAGACCCCAAAACCTTGTTCTGTTCAAGGGTCCAAAGAAATCAACCAAGGATTTGGGATGCTGACCACACCCTCAAGTGTGTCATGCTACAGGAGGTAGTGTGGTACAATGGAAAGAGCATGGGCTCTAAAGTCAGAGGACTTGGGTTCAAATCCTACCTCTGAAGTGTGTTGTCTATATGACCTTGGGTAAGTCACTTAACTTCCATGAGCCTTGTTATCCTCATCTGTAAAATGAAGGAATTAGATTATATGACTCTGAGATCCCTTCCAGCTCTAAATCTAAGACCCTAAGCTCCTATGATCAGTCTCCATTGGTGAGATGCAATATGAGTATGAGGATATGAATGAGTAGATAGCCATTATAACTCATTTTTTTTCCCCTATAAGAAATAAGTCAGTCTTTTATTTTAAAAAAAAAAGTCCCAACATATGGGTTGACTACCATTTTGTATACTGCCACCTCTATCCCCCCACTGGAGCCTACACTATATCTGGGACTTCTAATTAGTTTCCCAGGGATTGACATCCATGAATGAGAGAAAGCATTATTGACAGCTATGAATAGCAAATAAAATGAGCATCTAAAAAACTCAGGGCACTTTAGTTCACTAATGTATTTTAAGGAAGACACCTAGCATATCAATTGAAATTCATGTGGAAGATTTACAGTAGGATATGGATGAGTCATACTGAATGGGTAGGCAGGGATGGGTTGTAATTTGCATCCTCTGACAGAGTTTCTACATCAATGGAATTCAAAATCCTTTGTAATGCCGGAGAATTCAAATATTCAATCAATAAGCATTTATTAAGCACCTACTATGTCCCAGGCACTATACTAAGTGCTGGAGATACATTGAAAGGCAAAAGACAATTCGTGATCTCAAGGAGTTCACATACTGATGAGGGAAAGTCTAGTGGGAATACTCAGCCTTATACTGTTTACATTAGCACAGAATGGAAAATGGTACTATGCATACACACTGGGTTTCTTAACACAAAAGATTAGTTTCATGCCAGAATGAGATTAACAGTAAGGAGTATTCTCTCTCTCTCTCTCTCATACACACACACACACACACACACAAACACATAATGTTGCTTTTTACCAATGGAAACTCATGATTAACATGACCCACATTCTTGTGTTAGGATACCCAGTTTTGCTCCTCCCCAAACACTGTCCTTCAGGGATGGGAACCAGAGATAAGCTCAGTCACATATCTTGATTCAGATAAGCAGTGCTGGATTATCTCCGATTTTACACTTAGCATTACTTGTTCTGTAACGATATATATCCATGGGGTAGTTAAACAACCCAGCCATCAACCTCAAGGCATAGTGAATACGCTCTGGAAGTCATAAATAGTTCCCCCAGCATACCCAAGATGATGTCAACACATGGCAAGAAGATTCAAGGCAAACTTCCTAGCACTGATGCCACTATAGATCGTTGGCTTTTTCCACCATTCACTCAAACTTCATGTCAATGTATATAGCTCAGCACAACCATTAGCTCTCCCACTACACTCTAACAGCCTCCACCCTAAGGCTGCTTTTGTAATGAGCATCTGTTGCATTATACCAAGAACCTATCACCCATATTTTGGGGCACCCATAAATCATCCCTGGAGATTACAATCGAGCTCGTCCAATCAATTCCCACCTGCTTCTCCAGCTATGTAGTGAACTTTGCTATACAAAGAATGGTAAGATATAGCTCTCTGCTCCCAATCTCCTGACACCTGAAGACAAATGGCTTCCCCTCTCTAGGCCTCAGTTTCCTTGTCTGTAAAATGAGGGAGTCGGACTAGACAATCTTCCAAGTGGCAAGAGAAGTAGAAGATTCAGCTCACTCTTTAGATGTCACTCCCCCCAAGGAGGGTGTGCTTGATGAGTGTAAACAAACCAAACAACATCAAACTTTTCAGTGTGCTCTAAGTGAAGAGAATGGTGAACAAGAAGTCAGTAGACCTGGGTTCTAAATCCTGACTCTCCCAAAGACAAGTTACGCGACTTTGGGCATATAACTTAGTTTCTCTGGGCCTCAGTTTTGCCATCTACAAAATGGGGGTGAAGTGTGTCCCATGGGCTCTAAGGTCCATTCTAACTTCATCATTGTACGATTAAATGAGAACTGAGCTTCTGACCTGCAATTTTTGTAAGAGAGTTTTCCTGGAGAAGAAGATTGTGGTTTTGTGTTGGCTGTTTAGGTCTTTTGTTACCGATCGCTTTATTTTATTTTGGGGGGCAACCAGCTGGCTAATTATTTCCTTACCCATGGTGCTGAGGGGGATCCTGTTTTATGGGGCCTTCATTCTCCAGGGCCTCTTACTGGTTAGGAGTTCAGAGGGTTTCCTTTTGCCATCAGGAGGCCTTACCTAATGCGGGCTGCAGTACCAACAGGGATCAAGCCTATAGTTCTTTAGAGACACCTGCCTGGAAAGCCTCTGGTTGCAAACCATTAAACTTGGATATTGCTGCTGATGGCCTCTGAGGTCATTTCCACCCTGGAAATTTTTAAGAGGAACTATATAAACTTGAGGCTCCAGCCACCCACTCTTTCCCATCCTCCTAAATACTGGAGCATGGGCAGCAACAAGACCAGAGATTCCACGCCTAGACGTCTGACACTGAGATGATGGTGATGTAGCACTACCAGTAGGGGAACGTGCCCAGTCCCTCAGCTCCCTGAATGCTATCGGTCTACACCTCTGAGAGAAAGCACAGCAGGAAGAGCAAAGAGTGTGGATTCAGGAAAGGACGACTTGGGTTCGAATCCCAACCTCTGACACTTAATTAATTAATTAATTAATTAATTAATTAATTAATTAGCTAGGTGAGCCTAGGTAGGTCACTCAATCTTGCTGAGCTTCAGTTTTCTCATCCGTGAGATGAGAATAATAATGTTCTACCTGCTTTGCAGGATTATTGTGAGAAAAGTGTTCTGTAAACTATAAAACACTAAGGAAATGTGAGCCATCTGTCTTGGTCCTCTCTCAACTTCCAGGAACTGGTCTTCATGACTTAGACATATGAAAGAATCATATAGAGTTAGAGCTGAAAGGCTAGAACTAGAAATCAGCTAGTTCAAC